GGGGGCCCGCCGAACCCCGCCGGGTCTTCAACGGCGGGGGGCACGGCCCTGCCGGCAGCTGGAAGCACGCGTGCTGATGTGGACGTGCTTTTCAGCTCCGCCGCAACGGCGTGGGGCGCCCACCGTCCGGCTGTACGTGAGTGTTCAACGTCACGACTACTGCTGAGCAAAACCAGGAGCCGCTTCTGCTGCTGCTTGGACACATGTGGTTGTCCAGCCCACACCCACACCCACAATGATGGGACCAAACGACTGCCTTCCACGCCATTGCTGCGGCTCCTGAGTCTGGCTTGCACATGCTGTCTTGCCATCCGCCCCCCACGCGACGCGTGCGATTCCGCCACGTTGCCACCAGCCACAACCGCCGCCGGCCCGCACCTGCTGCAGCTCGTCCTGCACCTTCTCCAGCTGGTTCTCCTTGGCTGCCACCTGCCACACTAGGGAAGCTACCGACTCTGTCGTGCCGCTGACACTGAGGGGCGCATCGGGCTGCGGGGGGAGGGAGCAGTGCAGAGCGCGTCAAGCAGCGGCGCAGCGCGCACAGACGCGCGCCGAGCAGCACGTTGCGCGCTTCGCTTCCACGCGCCGTCCCGCCATCAGATATGTGTGTGCACTGTTTCCAAGGCCTGCCCAGCACGTCAGGGGCTCTAGCAGGCCGCGCACCAGCTTGAACTGCGAGGCCGCCGCTGCAAACGTCCGAGCCTGCGGATGCACGTGATCATTGGATTTCAAAGGACTGTAGGCATGCCTTGAGGCCTCGGCAGCGGCCTCTGGAAGCGCGGATCCGTCAGATCACCTGCTGGAAACCCCTGCCCGCCAGCAGCGCTGCCGCCCGCGCCAGCATTTCGCAGGAAGGGTAAAATCGGTCCTTTTACTGCTGTCAGCACGCCCCTTCAAGACGTGGCCCGCTACACTGGTGCTATGGACGATCCGGAGTCTGCTTTGTGCTGGCAATGCAGCTAAACGTATCGTCCACGAAAAAACAATTCCACCGATCCTTCTCTACAACTGCTACCGTGAACTGCTCACCAGCAAGCAGGACACTCCTCAAACTCAGAAGATCCAGCCATCCATAGGTCGCCCTCCGACAACGCCACTATTGTAACACAATGCAGAGGAGCATAGCAGTCGCGCAGGGGGCCCATTGTGCGCTGCCGCGCCCGCGCCCACACACCGCTTGCAGCGGGTTCGGAGCAGGCGCGTCGCCGCTCCTCGCGGCACGCCCGTTCCTGCATCCCTGCAGCCTCAGTCGGAGACAAGCGCAACAGCAGCAGCAACAGCAGCATTCGCCGCCTCTGCCACAGCAGTCGCAGCGGCGGGCAGCTGTGGTGGCGCGCATCACGCCGTTCGATCAGGCGTGGGGAACGCAAATAGACGGACAGGTGCGGCCGGGGCGCACTGCCGCCTTGCGCTGGGGGCGCTCCGACAGCATGCGATGGGCATTGCGATGTCGTCATGTGACCACACAGGGGCAATCTAGCCTCTTTGACGCGCACACGGCTCACTCCGCCGCCCCTCCCGTGCATGTGCTGCCCTGCCACCGCTCAGGCGCAGTGACCGCGTCGCTTCCGCCCCTCGAACCCCGCCCTCCCATCGCCCGCGCCTTCTCCCCCTGCCCTCCCCTCCCCTCACAGAGCATCGCGTCGCAGCTCTTTGCTTTCAGCCTGTTCCCCTACCTGGCCTTCCTGTACTTCCTCACCCGCTCGGGCCAGACGCCGCGGACGGTGCTGTTCGGCTTTTACTTCCTTTTGGCCTTTGTGGGTGCGACCATACCAGCCGGGATCTACGCCAAGACCCACTACGGCACATCCCTCGCTAACGTGGACTGGCTGTGAGCGCCGGCGTCCGCATAGTCGGGGGCAATCGTTGTTGACGGCAACGCCGTGGCGTGGGCTGCGGACAGCAAGTAGCTATTTGCTGGCTGCCCCCTGTCGCCCTGCAGACTCGCCTGGTTCGAGGAGGGCGCATATCCACATTCGTCTGTCGCCTGCGATCCCACCTTCGGCCGCTCGCGCCTCACCTGCACTTTCCCACCGCACCCCTCCCCACCCACTTGCGGGACTCGTCAGGCACGGCAGCGCGGAGTCCCTCCTGACCATCACCAACCTGCTCCTCGGTGAGCCGATGCCTGCATGCCTGCCTGATCGCCGCCTTCCCTGGCAAACTGCAGCGCCAGAGCGTGACCTTTCACCTGTCATTCGCATCAGCGCGACATGTACAACACTTTTGGACCAGCCGCTGCGTCTTTTGTTTGCCCCTTCATGATGCAACTTGAATCCTAGCTCCTCTAACCCAAGCCGGCCTCTGCCACTGCCTCCATCCTGTTGCCACAGTCCTGGGCCTCAGGCAGGCGATCCGCGAGGCAGAGGCTGCAAAGGCCAAGGGCGCCGCTGCGGAGGCGGAGCAGGCCAGCAGCACAGCGGCGGTGGAGCCGGAAGCGGTCAGCAGCAAGCCGGGCGGGGACTCTTAGAGAGGTCGGGCGCGCGCCTGCTTTTCAAACGCTATTCATGTAATCTCCATGTCGTCTGACGTGTTTCGAGTTTTGCGATCGGCCGTCTGTGGGGCAGTATTGGTCAGCACCTGTCAGCTCAGCGAGGTCCACCTGGGGGTGTCCACACGCCTGCAACGCCCAGAGCTCACCAAATGCCTCCTTTGAAAGACCACTTTAATTTATAGTTGGGTGAGCATGCGCCAATCCATGGATAAAGTTTTTAAGGTCGAACGTTCAAACGTAGAGCCAGCCAAATGCAGCAAGTCAAAGCACAGCGATCACGGCAGCAACCGCCACAGCCAGATCGCATCGGATCCCCACCCCTGACATGCCCTCCCTTTCAATGCAGACGCAGCCCAAATGCATGATCTTGCCAGACGGCCGCCCACAAAATTCATGCCCACCCCTGAGCGACAGTGACCCACCCCTGTCATGCCCCAAAGCTCCCTGCATCCTGACTGCTGCAAACTCATGACTCCCAGCCTCCCCAGGCTCCTGCAAATCTCCCTGCCCCGCAGCACCAGACTGGTGCACTGCCTCGACCCTAAACCCCGCAGAGCGCCATGAGCTCATCCAGCTCATTCAGATCATCATCGTCATCAGACCACATGGGGCCGCCCGCCGCTGCACCACCAAACCTTGCCGCCGCCCCGGCCCCGGCCCCGCCGCCCGCCGCCCCGCAGAAGCCGGTCGCGGCCGCGCCGCCGGCGTCGCAGCGGCCGATGGGTGCGGGGGCGCAGGCGGCCGGCGGCCACGCCGGCCATGGGGCGGGGGCCCGCTTGGCCGGGGAGGCGCCGGGCAGGGGCAGGCCCTCGGCGGCGGCCAGGGTTGCGATGGCCGTGAGCTGCAGCTGGTCGAACAGGCGGGCATCTGGGCAGGGCGGGAAGAAGAGGGGCGCTCGCGGGGCCTGCGCCTGCCGCCACGGCGCCCGCGGCGCGTCTGCCGGCGGCGCCGGCAGGGGCAGCGCGGCCGGCGCGGCGTCGCCCTGCCGCCAGGCGGTGTCGTCGCCCCGCGCGCGCTGGGCTGCGCCAGCCCACGACGAGCTCCGCAGCGCAGCACTGGCACTGGCGTGAGCCGCGGC